CTGGGAGGCTCCCAACGGGAGTGACACGCGCCGTGGGGCTCCGCATCCTGGGCCGACCCCGCGCCCGGGCTGACACACTCTCACATGACACGGTCGTCCTTCAACGCCACCCAGCCAACGGGGAGCAGAGGCCACCCCTGCTGGCCGCCGTGGTGGACAGACGGCAGCCTGTTCTCCAGCTCCGGTCACGCGCACCAGCTGCCCCGTCACCCTGTCACCCTGCCATCGCAGGCCACTCACTCCTGGGCGGGGGCTGCCTCTCACCCTGGCGGGCCCCTCACCCCCCTCCTCTGGCCACAGGGACAGATTCAGCTGACTCGGGGACCTCGCTGGCGGGAGTCACAGGACTGTTCTCCAGTTTCCCCTTGAATCCAGACCCACTGCCACCGGCCCCCACCAGGCCACCGTCCCCACACCCTGCCCCTGGACTGCGACCCTGGAGACGCTGCGGGACGGGATGCCCAGGCTCTGGGTGTGGGCGGGGCTGGGGGTGCTGAGCACCCGCCTGTGGGCTGGGGAGGTTTCTAGGTCCCCACGGCCCTGGGCACTGACTTCAGATGCCCGCCTGGTGCCCGCGCTCTGCACCAGCCCCTCCGTGGCCTCGAGCTGGTGGCCCTGCTGGCTGGGAACAGAGGGTGTGGCAGCTCCAGGTGACCCACCAGGACAGGTGCCTTCTGGGGCTCTCTCGGGTCACCTTCGCGCCTGCTCCTGGTGCTAGGGGCACCGTCGCAGAGTCTAGGCCACAGTCTCCCCTGGACGCTGTGGACGCTGGGGCCAGGCCATTCTCCAGTGGGTCCTGGCACGCAGGGTGCTGAGCAGGTCCCTGGCTGCCACCCCAGGTGTGACACACATGTCCAGTCCCTGGGGTAGGCCTGGGGCTGCCCAGGAAGAGCCGGGAAAGTGCATGACCAGGTCAGAAACTGCTGGCCAGACGACCCACCCCGCGCCCCAGGAGAAGGTGGCCCTCCATGCCCCAGGCGGCTGCCCCGAAGCTGCCCGAGGGGCCGACTGCTCCTGGCCACCCCTGGCGCCGCCGCCCCTCCCTGCGCCCCTCTTGGTGGACCTCGTCCTGGGTGGACAGCTGGCCCCTGTTCCCGAACCCCGGGCCGCAGCAGTGTCCTCCACGGCTGGGGCTCCGCGTCCCTGCCTGGCCGTCCCCTGGCTGCTGGGCGGGGCAGGCCACAGGGCCTGGGGGGCGGGCAGGAGCGACCTTCTGGAAGCTTCCAAGTGAGGTGAACGCAGCCCCTCTCCCTGAGGACGGGGAGTCGCTGCTGCCCGTCCCCTCCCCAGCGCCCCCTCTGACACGCAGCCGCACCATCGCCCGGGAGGTGGCAGAGCAGGCCTCGGGCAGCTGCAGAAAACCACCAGCAGGGAGCCCGGCCACGTGAGGCGACTTCCCGGGCCACCCGTCACCCTGGGAGGCACGCGTCACCCTGGGAGCCTGTTTCAGGAAGCACCGAACCGCGGCCACAGATGGAGAAGTCACCTGCAGCTGCCCTGGAGTCAGTGCCACAGCTGCTCCTGGGCCTGCGCGGGGGCRGGGGCCACACAGGCTGGGGGCTGGGTGGCGTCCAGCCGCGGGCTGTCCCGCTCCGTGAGCCAGACGAGCCCAGGGAGGGCGCCAGGGCAAAATGCCAACCCCCGCCTGGCGCCGTGACCACGCCTGCCATTCCAGTGGCCTGGGAGCCTGAGCAGAGGACCGCAAGGTCCAGGCCAGCCCTTGAGGGCTGGGTGCAGCCTGGTGGTCAGCGCTTCCCTGGCATGTGCGAGGCCTGGGCTCCATCCTCAGTGCCTCCCCAGTGGGGACACCCAGTGACGTCACCCCAATCTGTGCCAGCCGTGGCGCCAACCGTCCACACTGCAGAGCAGAGCCCACACACCAGGGCTGGTGGCCCTCGGCTCCGGAGGCCTGGCATCGGGCGTGAGGCCGGGTCCTGTGCCCAGGGTCTCCCCAGGTCCGTGGAGAGGTGGTCTGTGCCGCCCACTCACTGGGTGCGTGAGGTCATCCTCTGAGTCCATTCAGACGGTTCCAGAATTTCCTGGTTCTGGGCCCAGGACCGGCTCCCTCTGCTGGCTCCCCGTTCCTGGGGGCTCCCCAATTCCCGAGCAGGGGTCCCCTACCCTCAGGGGCAGCGGCGAGGCGTCCTGACCAGCCCCTCCGCCTCCTGGGGGCCTGCCCCAGGGCCACACTCAGGGGAGGGTCACTGTGTGCGTCTGCCCGGGGCGTCTGCCAGGGGCCCTTGGTGATGCCCTTGCCCAGGGTCGTGACAACCTGTGAGCTGCCAGGCCGCCCCTCAGGAGGCGCGAGTTCCCTGTGCTGCTGGCTCAGGCCCCTCCCGAGCTGGGGACCCCACAGCGGAGCCCAGGCCCCGGTCCCCGGGTCCCTGACTTTCCTTCACAGGAAGCGCAGGGCGATGCGTTGAAGGGGCGCGTCCCTGCTRGAGAGGTGGCTCAGGCCCGAGCGACTGCCCCCAGGGGACCCTGGTGTCAATTCTGGACTGCCCTGGCCTGGAGTGCTGCTGGCCGCGGACACTGTTCGGGGACACTGCTCGGCACCCGCAGGGCCCAGGACCCACCCTGAGAATGACCCAGCTCCAGTTCCAGTGCCCGGGGAGCCCCTGCCGTCACCCACCTGGGACCCTTGTGAGGGGGCTGGCAGCCACCCCCAGGCCTGGTCTGTCTCAGCAGGAGGCAGTGGTCCTCTGGACCTGCCCGGGGCCAGCTGCCCCCACGCTGCGCTGGGCCGGAGCTGAACACCCGCGGCCCCAGGGCCCATCCCTGGCAGGAAGCCCCGGGAGAGCCTGGTGCAGCCTGCAGCCTGCGGAGGGCTGTCCGCCAGCTGGGACCTGCCCGCTGCCTCCTCTGCGGCCAGCTGGGACCCTGCCCTCCGCCCCTCCCTCCCGCGGCCGCCCCTCCCTCCCGCGGCCGCTGGGCTGCCCGGTGGGACATTCTTCACATTCCTGTCCTGGCCGCCCTGCCAACTCTGGGCTCACGTTCCCTCTCCTGTGAGAGGCCGCCGGCAGCGGAGGGGAGGCGTTTTCCCGCTATGAGAGCTATGCCTGGAATCCAGGGACGGCATCTCTGTCCCTGTGTCTGGCTGTTGCTGCTTCCKGTGCCGCGGGAACCCCCGCGGGTGGAGGTGGCCTCACGGGCCTGAGAGAGAAGCCCTGTGTTCCTCAGGTCTGGAGGACCGGGGCCGCCTGCCTCTGGCCAGCGCCCTGAGCTGTGGGCCCTGCAGGGCCGAGCCACACCAGCTGGCCAGAGCCTCTCTGGGTGCCTGGTCCAGAGCCTCGGCAAAGCCAGAACTGTCCAGGCCTGCCGCCTGCCTCCTGGCTTGTCCCCAGGGTGCCAGACAGCCCACCCCGGCAGGTCTTGGCACCTGGAGGCCAGGCGCCCACCCTCTGGGCCATGGGGGCACCCAGCAGTCTAACAATCTTGGCCGGGGCTGGGGCGTGGCTCTGGGTGGAGGCCCTGGGTCCATCCCAGCTCTGCCAAGAAAAAGGGATCTTGACCCTTGAGACCCAGAATCCAACTGCCCTTGGCCCCGCCTCTCCCCACCCCCACCCGGGCACGGCCAGGACAGAAGCAGGACGTGACTTTCCCTGCTTCGCCCGGGAAAGCAGGGAACCGGAGGTGCCCTGGTGGGCCGTGGCACCTGTCCAGCAGCCGGGGCTCACGGAGCTCGGTGRGCAGCCCGGGCAGAGGGTGGCAGGAAGAGCTCTCTGTCGTGGGGAAAACCCAGGTCTCCGAGAGCCCCGGCCACGCGCAGCCCAGGGGCAGGGCGGGGTGTGTCCCCAGGCCTCCCTGGGGTCCCCGCSACCTTGGCCTGTTACCCCAGGCCCAGCACCTGGGCTCTTGGCTCTCCAGACACGGGGCAGGCTCTGCTGAGAGCCATGCTGTGACTCTTCCTGAGGACGTCCCGGGTCCCCTGCRCTCGGCGGCAGAACCCCTGTGGGTGCCGCGGCCTGTGTCCCCAACCTGCGGTGCCGAGGGGAACCCGGGGCCTCACAGGGCGAGGCGAGCGTCCACTGCTCAGCCCAGCCCAGCCCGCTGACAATTCTTAAGGAAAAGAACACACCAAGCCTGGGTGGCCTGAGGGGTGGCCTCCTCGGGGCAGGTCTCCTGGAGAGCTCGTCCAGGGAAGAGCAGGGCTTCTCCTCGGCAGCTGCGTCTGGGTGCAGCCAGCTTCCGGGAGACGCCCAGGCACAGGTGGCATGTGCTGACCGGTGGGGCTCCTCTGGTCTGTCCCCCAAAGGCCTGGTGCAGCAGGGCTGGCCCGGTTCCTCAGGTGTTCCACGTCTGGGGCAGTCTGGCTGGGCACAAGATCACGAGCCACTCACAGCTTTGTAGATTCAAACAGCAATTCTTTATTCCCGAACACACACCGGCCTCTACAAACAGGATCTGGGGAAATCCAAGTTCTGCCGCCAATTCACGGACTCCACCAGGCTTTGAATCCCAAGTACTTTCTGAATCCCAATGGAAACTCAAGGATGGGGTGCCTGAGGCAGCAGGATGCGCCCTATTCCCAGCAGGGTACACCCTAAACCTGGTTCTGCCCTAATCCAGTAGGATCCACCCTGGTCCTTGAGCAGGGTCACCTTTCTCAAACACACATGCAATGTCACTGCAAATCCAAGGCAAGTCCTTCCTCTAAGCAACATGGGGTGCGCTGGCAAGGAAATTTCGATGCATCATTCCTCCTTGGCAATGGCTCTCAGCCACGTCCTCTGGAGGGGCCCCAAGTCCACAGCGGTGCTGGGCGCCGCCCACCTGGGGACATGAGTGTTGTGACAGTATCTGGGCCCCTGGGCCCCTTGGTAAGCCCAGGTCCTGYGTGAGGCTCTTGGTGGCCGTGAACCCCGGGCGCGAGGCTGTCGGTCACCAGTCACCACCGTCCACTGCTTCTGACTCTGTGCCCCTCGCCCTGCGCYGTGGCCGTCGCCCTGTCCTGTCACCCCCCCCTCCCCTCGTGCCCTCTGGACCCCAGGGGTCTCCCCTTCACCCACWTCCTCTTCTTTCCTCAAGTTCTCGCGCTTCAGTGCCATCTGTCAGGCAGTGAGTGGCACTCTGTGGGTGGCCCGCGGTGCTGACCCCGCCCAGTCGGACGTTGGATATGCAGATTTAGCWAGAGATCATTTGAGGCCCGGGAGGCCATCCTCTAGAGTGGAGGCCCCACGTGGGGCTCGAGGCGACTGGGAGCCCATCCCGGCCCCTGGAGGGCTGCCCGCCTCCCGCCAGCCCTGGCTGCGGCAGCTCCCGCCCTGGGCCGCCTGTCACCTGGTGGGGTGGGTGGCCATGCCACAGGGCCTCAGACAAGCCCTCCCTCCGTGGGGAGGCAGCCTGGGCGTCCTCCTTCCCTGARCACACTCCCGGCCTCCTGCAGGAGCCTCACATTCTGTCAGGATCCCCCCCTTGCCCTCAGCGACTGTGGCGTTAGCTGACCACTGGTGGCCAAGGCAGYCTGGGGAGAGGTTGGTCAAGGCAAAGGCGGGCCTGTCCCCGCGTCCCTCTSTGGGCGGAGCCGGGAGTCCTGTGGCCTCCAGTTCTGGACCAGCCTCTACTTCAGGGAGCAGTGGCGCCCTCAGCCCTGAGGAGGGCGCTGGGCGACTGGCGCCTGGGACACGTCCTGCTCGTCCTGGGGCCAGGCTGGCCGGGTCTGCTGCTCCTGGCCCCGTCACGGGACCCGCAGCCCCTGGGCCACGCGTCATCACGTCCTCAGGAGGACGCGAGGGAGGGACCTCCCAGAGCACTGGGTGCGTGGTCCCGGGCGCCGTCTCTGGCTCTGGTGGCTTCTTGCTCCCTGGTGTTCGAGGACCTGCGCTGGGTCCAGGTCCCCAGGCCAGGTGGGCCGTGGCGCCCCGCCCGCCCCCGCCTCCAGGCAGCTCAGGGAGTGGCCCTGGGAACCTGCCCGTCCACATTCACTGGGTGCAGATGGCCTGGTCACCTCGCTTTCACTCTGGGCAGCAGCGGTGCCTGTGCCTGGTGGTCGTCACGGGTTCTGAAGGAGGGCAGAGGCCCGTCCTCGTGGCCGCTGGCCTCTGGCTGGGTGGACCCAGGCAGGGTTCAGGCCCACGCTGCCCRGGGCAGCACCAGCCCCAGGGTAGCGCCAGCCCCAGGGTCCCCGCCTCTGGAGCCGCTGGCGGGCTGGGCCCTGGGCAGCGGCGTCTCCCAGTTACTAAGGGTGGCAATGCCCGCCCGCCGCCCAGAGAGCTGGGAGCGAGGCCGGAGGAGTTGGAGGCCAGCCTGGGCAACTTCTGCAAGACCCTGTCTCAAAACAAGTCGTGAAAGAGGCTGGGGAGGACCGCTGACCGTGCTGGAGCAGGGACGGTCAGGCCACGCGGTGCCTCTGAGCGGACCTGGAGCAGCTGGCGTGGAGCAGTGTGCCCGCGGGTGGCGGCGCGTGATGGGGCATCGGTGTGGGGACTTTGGAAGAGCATCGTGGACGGGACCCAAGCCGACAGCGGTGGCCACCATGCCGGGGGGTCATAGTGGACACACCCCCGGATCACGTGCGGCGGCCCCATCCCCCTGCCGGGTGGGGTTCTCGCCCCTTTTCSGGTGCTGGCCAGGGCCACGAAGACCACACTGAGACCCCGGGCCCCCACTGCCCGGGACAGACCTCTGCCCCGGGGCTGCCTCTCACTTCTGTTTCACAGCTGACCCAGATGTGGCCAGTCTGCGTCCCTGTGGGACAGCTCAGGGGCCCCGGGGCAGCKGAGGCAGGGGAGGGTGAGGTGGCTCCAGGTGGCTGGGAACGGCCTTTGCCCCTRGGCCCACAGGGCCTCCCTGAGCACCAGGTGGTCGAGCGGCTGGACCGTCCCACACTCCAGCCCAGCGGGGGCCGGTCAGGTCCTGGTGGGCTTCGTGCAGCCTGAGTCCCCCAAGTCCCCTGGAAGCGGCTCCTTCCCTAGTGTCTCCCAGGCCCAGAGGGGCCCTGCAGGGCCAGCAGCCACCTGCATGTGGCCTGGAGGCAGGGTCTGGCAGGCCTTGTGACCCCCCCTGTGGTCCAGCAGCTGCACCTCGGCCCTGGGGACCAGCCCTGCCCTGAGGGCTCACCAGCGGCTGTCAGGCTCCTGGAGGGGAAGAGGCTGTGGCCGGTCAGGGGACACCTTGTGGCCGCCTTCTTGTCCAGGCTGGCCAGCGCAGCTGGTCTGCCTGGGGCCATCCCTGTCCCACCCTGAACATCTCGTGGTGAGGGACACTGAGCCCAGGGGCACTGGACAGCCGGCCACACTGTGGGTGACCTGGGGACCTGGCTCCAGCCCTGCCGTGGGTCTCTGCCCACCAGAGTGTGGAACTGGGCAGCCACCTGGCCTCCCACACGCCGTGGACGGGACCCCGGGACCCTGCCCACGTCCAGCCAGGGAGATGGGAGCCCAAGGGCCGCCTGAACCTGAGTGTCTGTCCCCGCCTTGCTCACAGTCACAAACCTGAAAGCCACCCTGTCCCCATGGGTGACTGGACTCCCATGGTGCTCCGTTCCTACGGCAGATGCCACTCAGCCCGGAGAAGGGCCCAGGCAGCCCCAGGGGGCACAGGGGACCCGGGTGGCCAGAGGTGCCCAGGCCACTCCCTGTGTGGACTTCCTGCAGAAGCCACAGAGGACAGAGGGGAGTCTCCGGCCAGCTGCAAAGAGGCCAGGTGGGGTGAGCTGGGGACCAGGGGACGGTGTCGGTCACCGCCATCTGTGCCGGCGAAACCTGTGGCTGTGCAGCTGCAGGTGACCCGCGAGGCCCTGCGGCTGCAGGGAGCTGGTGACAACCCCGCTCAGCCTGGGGCCTCCGCCCGCCGCCCTCTCCTCCCACTCAGCCGCCCACAGGGTCGGATCACCCGACCTGGCCCTGCGGGTGCCTGACCCCAGCGAGGCTCCTGGGCCAGGCGTGGAGATGAGCCGGCTGACCAGTGCGCAGGACAGAGGCCCGGCCAGCGGGGACGGAGCTGGAATGGCTCGCTCTGGGGGTTCCTGGAGTGGTTCTGGCCACAGTTGGCCGTGGGCAGTGGAGACTGGAAACCCAAGCCGTGGGCCGGAGGGGCAGTGGCTCCTGCAGGGCCTCCGTCCCCAAGGTGGCCGCACGCTATGCTCCATCCCGCCCACCGTGCTGGCACCTGCTGGGTGCCTGGCCCTGCACCTTCCAGGAAGCCTCTGGTTTTGCCCCCGGGGTCCACCCCAGAACGGACAGCAGAGACGAGGTCACTGTGAGAGACCAGGGAGGTCGGCGCAGCCTGTCTGCAGCGGGATGGGGATGGCCCAGCTGGTAAGCTTGGGCGCGGGGGGCCGGCGGGAYGGGCCCCTGGCCTGCTGTGCCCATCTTCCTCAGCCTCTGGTCAGCCGTGCAGAGGGCCCCTGCGGTGCGCTGGCCGCGCCGTGTCCCGGCCGCTGCCTTGGTGCTCCGTCGTGCTGGCGCATGTCCACCCAGGACCGCTGCTGGCCTGGAGCACAGTGGCTCCAGCGTAGCTTCTCGGTGACAGAATCGTGGGGGGTCTGGTCTGGGCCCCGCATTTTCTTTCTGCAGCTCCGGGTGAAACTTCAATGGGGACGGGGTCCTGGCTGTGGGTGGAGGCCAGGGACACTGCTCAGCCCCAAAGCAACCGGCCGCCCCGGACCATGACCCGCCGGGCCCACAGGCCCCTCTACCCCCAGGGCCCGCGGGGCTGCGTGCTGCTGGCCCTGACCCCCGCCCGTGAGCTTGGGCCTGGAGTCCGGGCCGGGACTGCTGCTCTAGGTGGTCAGGGCCCTGGGCGGGCACCTCGCCTTTCTGTGGAGGCCTGAGGGGTGCAGCTCCCCGCCCTTTGCCCCGAGGCCAGCCTCGGGCAGCAACGCTGGTCAGAGCTTTCCTTTTAGAGAGCAGCCCTGGGTGGAGGGAGCCTGAGCCGTCTGTCGGGCAGGCGGAGGCCACAGTCAGGAGCCTGCGCCCCTGCTGACCCCTGGCCTGGCCCCGTGGGCCCTGCTCCACCCTTCCCACCGGCCCTGAGGCCCTGCCCACTGCTGGAGCCTTCAGAGGCTCCACCAGGCCCGGGCAGGCCTGGCCAGGTGGCTGCCCGGCCATCACGTGCCTGGGCCGGGCAGCTGGTGAGGAACGCGCTGCTGACTCAGGCTGCACGTGCCCGTCCCTGGGGGCATGGCTGTCCTGAGTCAGGGGTGGCCGGTGACACCAGCCGCAGCGGGCAGTCAGGAGGGGCAGCGTGCCTGGCCCCGATGCAGGCGTCTGAGTCACACCTCAGGTGCGTGGTGCAGGGACACAGACGTCCATGTGTGTGCACACGAGCGCGCTGACCCGCTCTGACCGCGTACAGACCTGCCACGCACACACACAGATGCTGTGCACACGGCACTTGTGCCACGCGCCCACGTCACGCCCATAAGCGCACATACACAGATGCAGATGCCTGGGGCCACGTGCACACTCGCCCTCGCACACACAGGGTGCCGCCTGCTGGAGTGCTGGCCAGTCCAGAGGGGCCTCGGGAGCCACAGCCGCAGGCTCGGCTCAGGGAGGGCGTCACGCAGCAGCAGGCCCCGCACCAGAGCCCCAGACCAGGGAGGCCGCACTGCCCCAGGGTCACACGTCCCCCTGACAGCAGAGCCTTGGAGGGAGGCCTGTTGCCCCCGGGCAGCCGCTGGGCAGAGCCACCAGGGGTRTCCAGCAGAGCCAGGGGCGGCCTGTGCCTCCTGGGAGTGTGTGGTGTGTGGTTGTGTCACCAGGTGTGGCCGTGCGTGTCCTGGGCACCCCAAGCGCACGTCCCCCTTCCGGGGTCCCCCAGGGCCCTTCTCCCTCCTTCAGCAGCTGCCTGGCCGTGCCCTGGCCCTGGCCGCCTGCCGAGGCACTGCAGGGGCAGGGGCACAGACGTCCGTGTGTGTGTGTGTGTGTGTGTGTGTGTGCGCGCTCACAGGAGTGGCCACTGTGCACACACTCACGCACACACACACACACACAGGAAGTGCGGGGCCGGGCTCTCCCTCCCCCACCCCCACCCCGGAATCTCTGGGAACCTGGAGGTGCCTTCACTTGGGAACAGCCTCCTGGCCTCGCTCAGCCCCCTGGCCAGTATCTGCCCAGGGGAACTGGGCGGGAGGGAGCTGGCCTCGATGCCCAGCACCCAGGGGCGCCCACCCCCAGGCCCTGTGGTGCCCGTCCCCACCGACAGCAGGGATATCTGGGGTGRGTCCTGAGCAGCATCCCAGCCCCAGCGACTGCAGGCAGGACACCGCAGTGTGACACCACACTGTCCCCAGGTGTGGCCCCGTGGTCCTGGGACAGTGTCACCCTGCTGAGACCCCTGGGTCAGCGATTACCAAACAACAATTGGATGGAAAAGTGGGATTTTTGCTGCCTAAATAAACAGGCGACGGGCGTTCCCAGATCAGAGATTGAGCCGTGTCCCCGCAGCTGGGGGACCACCAAAGGGCACGACCAGCCACCCCGGAAGACACTTGGGCAGTTTCTTAAATAAAAACACCCACACATTCACCGCGTGGCCCAGAGATTCCACTCCTCGGCGTCTGTCCCAGAGGCGCAGAGGTGTTTGTGGGCACCACACAGATGTCACACAGCTTTACTCAGGACAGGCGAGAGGCAGACCCAGGGCTGGGCGTGGCCTCAGCACCCAGGGGTCTCATCCCAGCCCAGAGGTCCTCYGCAGGGGGTGCTGGCCCCTGGTCTRCGGTGCAGTGGAGTACTACTCGGCACTGTAAATGAGCAGCCTGGGGGCGCCAGTCCCCAAAGGCCACACTCSAGATGTTCCTTCCCCTCACACAGTGTCCTGAGATGGCGGAAGTGTGGGAAAGGAGAAAGTAGYGTTTTCTAGATGTTGGGGACGCAGCTGGGCTGGGAGGGTGAGGGTAAAGGCCAGCCTGGGAGGACCGTCCTACAGGGCAAAGGATCTGCGCTGTGTCCAGGCCACCCTCAGGGAGCGATGTGTGTGGGGACCCACTGATCTCTGCAAGGGGACAGAGACCGGCTCTGGCATCACTTAAAATTGCACGTAAAACCCAATGAGCGCAAAATTACCAAGGTGATTTTAAAATGAGGTCTCGGGCACAGTGGCCACACCTGCAATCCCCGYGGCTGGGGAGGCTGAGGCCGGAGGATGGCAAGTTCAAGGCCAGCCTCAGCAACTTAGCAAGCCCCTGTCTCAGAATGGAAGAGAACCGGTGAGGTTGGGGTGCTCAGTGGTGGGGCTGGCCTAGCCTCCCTGAGCACCTGGGTTTGATTCCCAGCACCACGAGGATGACAATAACGATCCAGGCTGGTGTGCAGCTCYGTGTTAGGCAGCCCTGGGCTCCAGCCCTGGTACCAAAAGCATAAAAAATCGTAAAGATAAATGAATAAGCCAATAAATAAGATGGATCCATCCAGGGCAGCCTGGGCACAGCGAGACTCACAAATGACACCGAAGGCTGGGTGCAGCTCGGGGCAGAGCTTGCCTGGCTGCGTGAGGACGGGTGCCATCCCCAGCGCCTCTGAATAAGGAAGARGAGAGAGAACAGAAGTGTGTGGGGGGGAACTGGCCGCCCAGGGCCTCCCCAGCACAACCCTGTGACAGCAAAGGACTGGCCTCAGCAGGCCGAGAAGCCCTGGGCCCAGAGCCGCCGCCCCCTCCCCCCCCCCCCCCCCCCCCCCCCCCCCTCCCCCCTCCCCCCCCCCCCCCCCCCCCCCCCCCCCCCCCCCCCCTCCTTCCCCTCCTCCCCCCGCCCCTCCCCCTCCCCTCCCTCCCCCTCCCTCCTGTGCCTTCTATATTACATCCCTATCATTCCTAGGGACAGACGCCAGGCCTGCTGCCAGGTAGACAGGTGTGGTTTGGTGCAGTGGGGACAGCCTGGTGTCCCCCTGAGCTGAGGTTCCCTGGGGAGGCTGAGGTGGCTTCACTGGGGTCTTCTGTTCAGGCAAAAGGCCCCTCCCTCGAGGGGGCCATCCTGGGGTGACCAGTGTCCCCCCAACGTGTCCCCCAGTGGGACCTCATTTGGAATCAGGCGTTTGCCGATGTCATCAGGAGGCACAGGACAGTGGCCTGTGCGGTGGCAGGGTCCCTGGGCAGGAGCCCCTGGAGATGGCCCGTGAAGAGCGGCAGATACTGCGGCCACAGGCCCGGGGCGGGGTGCTGCGCGCCAGGCTCCTGGGCCAGCGAGGACAGCCCCTGGGGCCACCTGGGGCCGCAGACCCAGGACACTAGCAGGACCTTTCGCACAGGCCCCGTGCTAAGCCCGGCCGTCCCTGCAGAGCTGAGTGGACCCTCCGGCCGGGGACCTCAGCGGGTGCCTGGAGCTGCTGGTGGAGCCCGGCCCCGGGGCCRCCTTCCCGGAAGAGCCAGCCCTCCCTTCCCCACCTGGGCCTGCCCCATCGGGCTCCAGGACAGGCGGGGGTCAGCCGTCCAGTGCTGCGTCCTGGGGACACTCAGTTCCCTGTGGGGTGCGCTGAGGGAGGGGGAGGGGAGCAGGCCCAGGGACCTCCTGCCCCAGGGGCCACTCTGCTGACCAGGGACGCCTGGTCACAGCTGGGAAGCCGTGCCCRGAGGGTAGAGGCAGCTGCTGGGCCAGGAGGCCCCCGAGGAGGACCCGCCATGTCCACAGTGCCCAGGGGTCGCCGGAGCAGGGCAGAGGTCAGAGAAGAGCCTGACCCTGTCCCCATGGTGTCCCTCCTCCGTGACAGCTCTTCTGCAGGGAGCAGCGGGCAGCCTTCTGGGAGGGGCTCCTGCCTCTCCTCCCTGGGCGTGGTCCTGGGCGTGGCCAGCTGGCTCACGTCCCTTGTCCCCACAGCTCCTGGACGTTGGCCCAGGCTGATGGCAGATGATGTCAGCCACCAACAACACAGCGCAGGCCCGCAAGCTGGTGGAGCAGCTCCGCATCGAAGCCGGGATCGAGCGCATCAAGGTGAGCCAGGGACAAGGGACACCCCAGCTGGTGGTGTGGCCCCTGGGCCCCGCAGGGGGTGGAGGTCTGCTCTGCCCCCGAGTCTGGCTGTGTGACCTGGGGCCACACACTCCAGGTCTCTGAGCTTCCATTTCACAGCAGAAAGAACAGCGGATGTGACTGAAGACGTGGCGTCCGTGGCTGCAGACGGCATGGGACCCGACAGGGGCAGGCAGCCCCACCCACAGGTGGCCCCCCGCTGGGTCAGCTTTGCCTCTGGGAAGCTTTGCCTTTCCTCTAAGGGAAGAGCAGGACCTTGTGCACGGGKCGTCCAGGCCTGTCCATGGGGCAGAGTCTGCTCCGTCCCCGGGGCACAACTCAGTGGCCATTGGTGGGGCCACAGGACAGGCCACAGCTGCCACTGTCCAGTTCCGGGACATCTGAAGCCTGTCCCCACGTGCAGCCCCTGTCCCCTCCCAGTCCTGCACCCACAGGTCCACATCCTGCCTCTGGCCTCTGCGGTCACTGGTCACGCCGTGGCCTGTGCTCTCACTGAGCCCTGGGTCTCGGCCACCAGCCCTGTGCTGTCACCCGACTCCTGCCTGGTGGGGACGCTCAGGGGTGGGGAGCGCGTCAGGTGGATTTCACGCCCACGCCTCCCGGTGCCGACCCTGGCCATGCTGGCCAGCAGGTGGACAGTGGCAGTTCTCAGGGGCGCCTGCACCCAAACCTGCGTCCCCCTTGCAGAGAGCACCGTGGGGCACTTCCCAAAGGCCTGWCGGGACACAGGCCCTGTGGCCAGCATGGCCCTGGAGGGTCAGCTGCAGCCGCCTGCTGCACTAGCCAGAGCAGGGCCAGCAGCCAGGCTGCCAGGGGGCAGCCAGACCCGCCTGCCTCCGCCTGGGGTCTAGCGAGGAGTCGGATCCTGCGGGATGACGCTGTCAGGACACRGGTGTCAGTGGCGTCCTGCAGTCAGCAGTGCCGCGTCGCCTGTGTGGCGCCCTCAGAGGCTGCGAGGAGCCGGCCCGAGGGTGGGCGGCCAGGCCGGAGCTCAGGGCTGGGGGGAGGTCTGAGGCAGGACCCTTCCCGGGGCTCCAGGCTTCGGCTGATTGGCCCAGGCCCACCCTCACCACGGAGGGTCCCCTGCTTCCCTCAGCGTCAGTGACTGGAAGGATCATCAGAGCAGGCGCGGTGGCTTCACCTGCCACCCCGGCCGCTCTGGAGGCCGAGGCAGGGGGATCACCAGGTCCAGGCCAGCCCTGGCGACTTAGAAGATTGTCCCAGCAGGCTCCGGGGGCGGGGCGCAAGCATTCTCCAGGTCCCAGGGAGGCGAGGACTGAGAAGAGGCGGAAGGCCTCCCAGACAGAAACCAGAGGCTGCGCGCTGGGTGCAGGGCGCAGAGCTGTCACCCAGTGACTCTGGAGGCTGAGGCAGGAGGAGGGCAAGTTCCAGGCCAGCCTCGGCAACTTAGCAAGAGCCCATCTCAGAAACTAGAAAGGGCTGAGGGCGGCTCGGTGGCTCAGCCCCCCCGAGTTCCATCCTCAGGACCAGACACACAGCAATTGTTTAAAACAAAGAAGAATAGGAGCCTGGGAGGTCCCGGGTCCTGAAGTCACAGCACCACCAGGCCGAGATCCAGGACAGACGGACGCGATCCTGGGGACTGGTCGGGACACCTGCAGCCCAGCCCTGCAGCCCTGCTGGGGGGARCACAGTGAAGCAGACAGAGAAACAGGGAGCGTGGCCTCGAGGCACGTCCCCGCAGTGACCAGAAGGGCCAGCCCCRTCAGGGTCACGGAGGCCCCGGGGGCTTTCAGGCTGCAACAGAAAGACACAATTCAGAAAGGACCCACAGGACCCACGGGGTCGTGCCCACACCACGAGGTCCCTCCCTGGGTGGCTGAGTGTGGCCTGAGTCCAGAGGCCCGTCTCCCTGGTCCCTCTGTTCACAGCCCAGTCCTGCCTCTGGATGCTCAGCTCTTTATCTGTGAGGCTGATTTTTAATCTTTTTTTAAAACATGGTAAAAAGCCGGATGAGGGGCTCAGGAGGAGGCTGAGGCAGGAGGATCTCAGTTCAAAGCCAGCCTCAGCCACCGTGAGSCGCTAAGCAGCTCAGTGAGGCCCTGTCTCTGAATACAATTCAAAACAGGGCTGACCTCAGTGGTCAGGGCCCTGAGGTCGATCCCTGGCACAAAACAAAGTAAAACGGGGAAAGTTACCCCGCGTAGACCTCGCCCTGGGACCTCCTCTCTGTGGCGGTGCGGGGTGGGACCAGGCCGACGCAGGCTGGGCGCGCTCCTCTGCTGAGTGCACCCAGCCCTTTGGTGACATTGGATTCATTCACGGTGTCATGCAGCTGTCACCTGTCCAGTTCCAGAACTCTGACCCCCAAAGCAGCCTCCRTCCCCCCCAGCCCACGTCCCGTCTCTGGACCCTGCTGTCCTGGACCCTCCTGTCACTGTCACACGCTGTGGCCCGTGTGTCTKGCTCTCACCGAGCGCCAGGTCTTCGGGTCCCTCACCGCAGCTGCCRCCTGGCCCCTGCGGGTGGCTCCCCGGTGTCGTGGCCAGGCCGTGTGCCGGCCCTGACCGGCCCTCTCTGCTGCCCACCCAGGTCTCCAAAGCGTCCTCGGAGCTCATGAGCTACTGTGAGCAGCACGCCAGGTCCGACCCCCTGCTGGTGGGCGTGCCGGCCTCCGAGAACCCCTTCAAGGACAAGAAGCCCTGCACCATCCTGTAGCGCCCGCACCACCACCGCGCTCAGCCCAGACCCGAGCCTGAGAAGCRCAGGGCTGGCGGCCCCTCCAGGCCACACTGGACGCACAGCCCTGCCTGTCGCCAACACACGCGGGCCTGAGTCCGCGGCCAGCGGTGGTCCAGGACCCTCAGTGTCACGGGCTCAGTGGGGAGGCGGACAGGGCAGTTCCCTCCAAGTGGGGCGTCTGCAGAGAGTCCACGCTGGGCTGCCGGGATGCGCCTCGTGTGACGAGCAGAGGTCAAGTTGGGGTGGAACGAGGCTGACATCATGAGATTTGGGGGCGATATTCCTCCCTTCCATTTGAAACAGTGTCACTCCCCACTCTGAAACCCGCTGCTCATGGCTGACCCAAGCTGAGCTGTGGGAGGATGCACAGGTGGACTTCCAGGGCGGGGAGGGGCTCCTCTGTGAAACGCACCCTGTGATGCCAAATGTCACTCCCTGTGTGGCATTTGCTACTCGGCCCCACCCTGTCCCTGGGGGCCCACCCGGCACAGACGGGCTTTGGGGATCTGAGGTGGGGAGTGGTCGTGGGGCGCTGTGCTGCTCGGTGGCGCTCCCTGGACCGTCCTCACTTCCCCAGTCAATGTGGCCATTTTTCAGACAGAAGTGCAGGCTGGGGGTCTGGGCCTGGTGGGTGCAGCCCCTCGCACGGTGCCCGGGAAGCACCGTCCAGTGACCTCGGAGGCCAGGCCTGTGGCCCCGGGGCGGGCAGCAGCAGCTCAGCTCTCCACGTTGGGTGGGCGGGAGGGAGACCCAGGTAGGGCCCGTGCGCCTGCCTCCCCGCAGCCTGGGGAGCTGGGGTGTCAGGGGCGGGGCACCCTCCTGCCACCCTGCAGCCACTCGGGAGCTGTGTGATAAGCAGCAGGGACCTTGTTGGCCCTGGGCCCAGGAGCCTCCAGTGGCCGCCTCCCGCCACAGCACCGGCCCAGGAGCAGGGCCAAGAAAACCCACCAGGCTGCCCCTGTGACCCGACAGACATCGGGGCGCCCGCCAGGACGGTCCCCGCCCGGCCGCCCCTGCAGGCCAGTGGGCAGGGCCCGCAGCCTCCCCAGGCAGCCCCCTCCTGGGGCGGGGGATGAGGGAGAGGTCACTGGGTGGGACCCAGGTCAGGAGACGTGGCGGGGGGCCTGGGCGGCCCTCCAGGTACCTCCCCGCGGCTCCCAGAGGGCACAGGCGCAGGGCAGGCCTGTCCAGCTCCCGGCTCTCTATGGCTGGTCCAGGAGGCCGGGGCTCGGGGTCTGCCGCCCACTCCTGTGGTGGGCCAGAAGAGGACAGCCGGCCTCTGCCCCACCCGACAGGTGGCGGGAAAGGACAGGGCCAGCTCCAGAGTGCCAGGGCCGGGGTGGGCGGCAGAGGCCCCAGAGCGACCTCTCGAGGGCAGCAGGGCAGGGCTGTGTCCTGGGGGAGACCGGCCCCCGCTTGACCGCCTGGGTCACTGGGAACAATTCACCCATTTCTCTCAAAAAGAAGCCTTAACCCTGGAGCTGGTGTCTGTCCCTGCATGGCCGGCCTCTTCCTTTGTCCCCACTGTCCAGGTCCCCAGCCACCAGTCTCCAAGGAGGACAGTCGACCCGGGCCCCAGCACTGGCAGCCCCCCATGGCCAAACCCCTGTCCCCCCACTCGCCCCGCCAGGGCAGAGGACGGGCACTGGGAATCCGAGCCTAGGCCCACGCGACGTGCCCACAGCCTTGACCCCAGGGAAAGGCTGGGCAGCGGGACGCCCCGGGCGGAGGGTCAGGGTTGACCGGGCCTCCGTGCTCGGCCACACGAGGCTTCTCCGGCCAGCGGGTCCCCGCGCCCAGCCCTGCAGGGCCTCACAGGGTCGGGATGTGCTCTGGCCTGGAGGGAAGCACGGGCTGCCTGACTCAGGCTCCTCATCTGCCCGCCTCCTCCTCCAGGTGCCCCTGCCCTGTCCCCGAGCCGGGTCACCAGGTGCCCACAGGTTGGGCCTCAGGGAGGTGGCGACCGGCAGGATCTCAGCTTCCTTCTGAGCCGGGGCCTCTCCTGACCCTGCAGGTGACTCCCGAGCTTCCAGGACAGCCTCCCTCGCAGCCGGGCTGCCGCTGGCGCCCCGTGGGACACGTCCCCGGCACTGCTCTGGGCACCTCAGGTCCCTCGCGTGCGTCGGGGAGGAGCTCTGGGGAGGTTCCTCGGCCCACCCACCCAGAGGGCAGGCGCCCGGGAGCAGCGGGCACTGTCTCCCGGCCTGCTCCAGGGTGCCCGGCCGGCGAGGGCGCCCGCCGGAGGGGTCGCTGACCTCAGGATCCGCGTCCAGTCCCCACCTGGGGAATCTGAGCGGTCCTGGCCATCTCAGTCCCCAAAGGTGACCCCAGAACAAAGTGGCCTCCAGGGATGGCAGATGGCAGAAGGTGCTTGTCCGTCTTTCTGCCCTGTCCCTTTGATGGTCCAGCAGCGGCCTCCTCCAGGCAGACGCTGGGCCCCCAGGCAGCTCATCCCAGCTCCTCCGGCTGGTCCTTAACTGACCCAGGCCTGCCACCCCAGCTGGGGGACGGGACAGGACAGGACCTCAGACCCGGCTGGAGCCGGGAACAGGACAGTTACAGGCCAGCCAAAGCTCTGCCCCCGGCTTGCCAAGCCGCCCAGGCCCAGTCCCGAAGCCAGGGGACTCGGGTGGTCCCAGCCCCTCCCGTCTGGACTCTGTTGCCAAATGCCCCAAAGACCCTCGTCCCCAGCAGCTCCACCGGCCCAGCCCCTGGACGTGGGTGGTCTCTTTCTGTTTTCTAAGACCCTAGCTGTGCCACGCCCACCCTCCGCCTGTTTTGACGCCTTGTGGAACCCTGGTCCAGAGTGACTGTCACTCAATAAAGGCCCCAGTGCTTCTCCCCTGGCTYGGCTCCTCCCTCTCCCTCCCTGGCCACCCCCTCCAGTCACCGCTGGGTGCACACAGGTGGCCTGGGGCCCCAGGGGCTTTCGGGTCTGCGGCAGGGGCTATTTAAGGATCTGCACACCTGCACACGGGGGCTCCGGTTTGGGTGGGGGGCAGCGCTCTCCTGGGGCGCAGGAGGTGGGAAGGTCCTCGGCCTGCCCCTCGCTTCCTGACCCGTGGACCCCACTCTCAACGCCAAAGTCCGACCGACTCCTGGGCAAGAGGCCGGGTGGGAGCCACCGTCACCCGTGAGGCTGAACAGTACCATCTACACAGGTCACTCTGGCCACGGAGCAGGGAGCAGCTTCTCTGTGTCACACGCTGGCGCACTGCACTACCTGAAGGCGATTCCCAGTCACAGGCGGGCGGCAGCTCAGAGTGGAGACCGCGGCAGCTGCCCTCGCGGGTGTGGGGAGCAGGGCCCGGAACCCACGGCACCTGCCTGGACCACAGACCGCCACCACAGGACGGGCAGCGAGCCCATGTCCATCCACAGCTGAGTGGGCACACGTGTCCCCTCCCGAGGAGGGAGCCCCCGCTCGGCAGGGGAGGGAGGGACAAGGACAGACCTGGGGACGGGGCACCCCGTGCAGAGAGCCAGTTGTAAGGGGACACAGGCTGCAGCATCCACCCAAGAGATCCCTGGGGTCTCAGATCCACAGACAGGAAGCAGCAGGCAGGAGTCAGGCTGGGAGGGGCCGTGGTCAGTGCTGGAGGGGCAGAGCTCAGGTGGGGAGGTGGAAAGTTCTGGAGGTGGTGGTGGGGTTGGCTGCACAGCCCTGTGACTGTGCTCGCTGACTCTGAGCTCTGCCTATAAATCTTGCATCATGCTTATTTTACCCTAATAAAAAACCAGTTCCTACAAATTAGAAGGAAAAGACTAAGAATTCAAGAGACAGACCCAGAATATGTGCAGCGAACACATGCAAAAGCATTTACCAGTCAGGCATGGTGGCTAGCCCTGTGATCACTGCAACTCAGGAGGCCGAGGCAGGAGGATCAGAAGTTTTCAAGGCCAGCCTCAGCAATTTAGTGAGACCCTGTCTCAAAATAAAAAATAAAACTGGAGGGGTAGCTCCCAGGTAGAGCACCTCTGGGTTCCACCTTCAGCACCAAAAATAAATGTAAAAATCAGTATTGATTCATAATTGACTGAAATGATATCCTTTTGCTTCAAAATTCATCCAGATTAACAAAAGCTGTCGGGTTCCCTGCCTGCTAGGCGGGATATGGGCTGTCCCCTGCTGCCAGGGACCTCCAGAGGTGAGGGCTTCCTAGGAAGTGCGCCGTGAGCACCCAGGAACATCTGCTTCCGAGGGTGGGCGATTCATGACACTGACCTGCCGCACTGTCAAGAGCAGCCGTGATCTATTTCACTGTGACTTACAGTCATAGATGTGGGTATGTGCAGCCTTCAAAACGTTCATGATTTTAAATCTGAAAATCACAAAACGTAAAAGTCACCCTTTCAACTCAGGAGGCTGAGGCAGGAGGACCCCAAGCTCAAGGCCAGCCTCAGTAATTTAGCAAGGCCCAGTCTCAAAACAACAAAAAGGGCTGGGGATGTGGCTCCGTGGTTAAGTGCCCCCGGGTGCCATCCCTGGTACCAAAACACATTTAAAAATAAAAATTTAGTTTGTCATGAAATCATGACCGTCTAGTTCTAGAACAATCCATCATCCTCAAAGGAGTCCCCTCTGTGGGGGGCTGTCATGCTGAATGACTGGCATTTCCTTCCCATGATTGAAGGAGGCTCTGTCGGTCACTTTCGGAGTGGCCCAAGGCGATGCCCAGATCCTCCAAGTAGCAGCACGTGTCTTTGTGCGCCGGCGTGGCCTCCCGCAGCCCGGGGGCGTGACTCGCCGTCCTTGTGACCTGCCCCTCTTGGCCAGGAGCCCCATCTAAGGTAAGCCAGGTCCAGGAGATTCCCTCGAGTGACCTTTGGTTCAGCTGCCCGCGCTGGTCGAGGGCGGCACCCCTCCTCAGCCCTGTACCCACCAACGTGTCCTGCCCCGACGTGTCCTGCCGCTGGGTCACACCTGTGGCCGTGTGTCCGGCTCTCACTGAGCACCAGGTCCTCAGGTCCCTCCACGCTGCAGCTGTCACCTCCAGCAGCGCCGCGTCTTGCCGGCTCTGACTCGGACCCTCCCGCCTCTTCTCAGGAGGACCCTGTGGTGACCCTGGGCCCTGATGACCAGGGCGGACTCATCTCGGCGTCCCTGACTTAATTCCACCCAGAGAGTCCCCTCTGTCCCATGAGGTGACATCCGCAGGTAGTGAGGGCTGCCTGAGGGTGTCGGGGGCTGCAGCCTGGTTCCCTAGGGGCAGGGCCGGAGGGAGGGTTGTGCTTTGTCCCTGGGTGAGTCTGGCTGGTCCACGTCTGGGGGTCCACCTGGACAGCAGAGTCGGGGGGAGGGCAGGTGTGGGAGGGCGTGGGGGGGTCAGCCTGGCTCAGTGAGCCGCTGGCCTCACCTGGGGACCCATTCCCACAGACTCCCCAAGATGGCATCCGGGGCCAGGTGGGTGGGGACGAGGGGAGGACAGACCCCTGGCTCCCCAGCAGCAGGGGTCACCCTGCACTGCCCAGCATGTCTGCCGAGTGCAGGGCCAATGCCCAGGGGCAGGAGGTTGTGCCTGTGACCTGGTCCAGTCCCCGCTGGAGCCCCATGTGCTCCATGCACAGCTGGACAGAAGCTCCACAGGAGGCAACGGGCCTCATCTAGTGGTGGCCCCTGGTCCACAGGCTCCACAGGAAATGAAATGCAGGGCCCTTCCCAAACACCAGGAGCATCTCAGGACGATGACAGCACAGCCTGGGACGGCCCAGTGA